TATGCTTAATTTCAGCAGATCGTAACATGATGACTACACTACTGCTTACAATACCCTATTTTATATTTAAGTGGTCTACAAAAGATTTATCTTCCGTAATATTTGAAATTGTAATTGAAGGGCACACCTATGACTTTTCTGTCACAAGGTTTGAACCCCAACAATATGTTATTGGATTTTTAAAAGTTTATTTTTAATCTCATGTGTTTAGCCACCCCTATAAAAAAATTCGGGCAAAAAAATATAGGAAAATGTACAGTTTTCCATACATTTCCTTCCTGAATTTTTTATAGGGCAAATTATCCAGTGAATGGTAGCTTTGCACATTATTCTTTTAGATAAGTGCAATCAACAATTATCCGAATCAATGGTATTACTATTGTGACAACAACTTCATAATTGGATTAAATTGATTTGTCTCGTGTTAAGTTAAAGTTTGATGTTGTATTATAAAATTTTGAAATCGACTCCTATATAATTCCGGCCAATTTTATTTGATGCAAACCAAATTATGAACATGAAGTAAAAATGTACGTACGGTGCAGATCATCTATAATCAAAACAGGAGAGACCGTTCTGGGAACACAAACTTAACAGGAGGGAACACAAAATTTTAACCCCATGCAATTTGTTGATTGACCAATTAAAATCGTGAATTTGATAACGTAGAAATAAATATGGGTTTGATTCATTTTGTCAACAATCACTTCACCAACAGTTGTTTCGTTAACAAATTTAAGAAGTTGGAAGCAACCATGTGACAAACCTTTGAAATAGTCTAATAAATTAAATTGTACTACTCGAAAATGTATTTAAAGGGTTGGTTTTTGACTTGGTTGAAGAATAACTCTCTTCCTAACTCTTCTCTTGACCATATCTCTCGATATAATCAAAATAACCTTAATATAATGAATGTCAATGAAATGATTGTAAACACAACAAATTTAAGATACATGATTGAGACGAAAAATGAACAATGTATGAAGAATCAAACAAATTTATTTAATAAAAACAAATTTACAACCCAAAAAAATGTTTTTTTTGCATGTTCTAATAAAATTTACATCATTTGTTCCTGATTCGACATTACCCGAATCATCATCAACTGTATATTCGTTATTTTCGATAAATTTAATATTTGATCATACTTTCTTTTAGTGTGTTGACTTTTTTTTGATTTCGACTTGATGATAGTCCAAGATATCAACATTTAGATTGACACCTTTGTAGACAATGATTGTGATAACATGAGTATGCTACAATTATTCAAATTAGTATAATTAGTGTAATCACAATATATGTAATTGCAAAAAAAGTTTTCTTAGAAATAACAAAGTTTTAGTAATTAAAGGATACTGATTTTGTGCTTGATATACTGATAGCATCAGATTGTCTCTGGACATGAATCTATGATAATCGTCAACATTCAACAAGAATGTATTTCTTGAATATATTCTCTACATATTTCTCATGTTCATCTGCAACTTGCTTCTTTTTTTTACGATCTACTGCTCTTGATGTTGTATTTGCTCCAAGACTTGTATCTACCGAGTCTAAATAGAATGCAAGGTCAAACTTAAAAGAGTTAATTTTTGTATTATTTAATAAAACAAGAAGATAACACATGAACACCGCCATTAATCTCTTCATATGGTCCATTATTTGCTCATTATGTTCAAATGGCCAAGCTACTAAATAGAGTTGGTCAAAAAGCTTGGTTCTATTTCTTGGAGCAATCTTCAAAATCAATCTTTTCACTTACCTCTTCCTCTTCCCCTTCCGCATCTGTGGTTTTTACTCTCCTAGGTTCTCTTTTTAAAAGATTTTCTACAAAATTCATATAACAAATGTTACATAAAACAACACGTTACTTTCACTAAGTTGTTGTTCTCAACTTTTTTCCATTTATTGCCTTTCGTTGATGAAAATTAGCTGATTCAGTGGTTTTACATTCTGTGCAATGTTTAATTTCAGGCAAATTTTCTTCGAGTAAATCGTATTATGAAAGTTGTGGGATTCAAAGGGATTCAAAAGATATGATAACAACAAAGTGTAAAGCTTCAAATTTGTGTAATTATTTGCACATGATTTATTGTAAGAATGGGCTACGTAATACCCTTGTAAAAGTATTTTAAACTGTATAAAAAAAATTGAAATCAATTGTGAAAATCCATTCCTTATATAGGACGGTCTCTCCTGTTTGCTGTTTGTGGTATCATTTTGCTAGTGATTGGAAATGGCCTGGTTCATAAATTGCCAGTTTCGCTAATGACTGGAGTTTATTAATATATAATAATAATAACAACAATTAAATTTATATGTTTCAAGTTTTTATAGCTCAAGTAATAAAAAAAAAACAAAACTTCACTAAATTTGATAAACTTTTATTGTGAGTTGTCGAAGAATATGGAACCTAGAAGTTACTGATAACTACAGTAAGTAAGAAACAACTTGATTAAAAGAGCGGTGTTCATAAAACCTTTTTCATAAAATTTCTTGGGTCGCAGGTTCAAAAAAGTTCGAATTTATAAAAACAAGCACGGATTATGATTTCAGAAGATGAAAATAAGCATCGATCATTATGCATCTAACATTTTTTTCTCTACAAATTGAATTGACTTATCATGAAAGATTTACATTAGGAAGTGCAGATTGGCGAATTAATACTTCATAGAATTGGACTGCTGCTAGCGACAATTTATTTTTGTTTATACAAATTAGCTATTAAACATTAATTAATTAATCTAAGCCTAATTTTAAATTTTAAATTTACAATAAATAAAATACATATTATAAATTTTACAAAAAATGATTCTTATAGTCTATATATAATTTATTTTTTCATATAAATGATTCAATCATCTTTTTTCTTTCCGTATATTCTAAATAATCATAATAGATATATTAATTGGTATTAGTAAATAGAATAAAGAGATACTAAGAAGAGAGAGAATGAATGATCACCTATAATTTTTTAGATAAGTTTTATATTCATCATCTTCTAAAATACTTTGTCTAATCATTTCATCATACTCTTCTAAACTCACTCCCGTAATTGATGGGAAATAAGGTCTAATGGTTTCCATCGACTCAAGTATAGCTTGTCTCAACTAGATAAATTAAATTATAATTAATAAATTTTGGAATACAAAATTCTTATTGGCAGGATAAAATTCAAACATCAAACATAAAGATTAATTAATAATATGTTTTACCACTTCACTAGCCATACCGCAACCACCCAAGGGAAAATTTCTTGATTGACGTCTAATTTCAACTATTTTATCAGTAGCTATTAATTTTTTTTCAATAGATTCAGGAGTTGATTTATCTATGCCACGTGATTCGAATAATTTCATGACTATAGTTTAATTGATAGTTTGTTAGAGCTTATTAAGCGGATTAATAAATATTTTTAAACAGTTTATTAAACGGTTATTTACATTCTGATGTAAGTTTTGTTGTCATTGGACCCATGGAATATGGCATGGATTCATCTTCCTAATAATAATAGTAATAATAATGATATGTTAATAATATAAGTAGATTTTCTTTATCACATCATAAATCATCCACTTTCATTATTATATTCATTATTAATTACCATAAATTCAATCCAACCACCAGGTTTAGTTATACGTATCAGTTCATCGATCACAAAAGACCATTGATCGATTGTTAGTGAAGTTATCATGTTTTTTTGATGAACAAAATCAAAAGTGTCATTTGGAAATGGTAAACCATCAAATATATTATGTTCAATTATAGCCAGATTTTCTGGCAATTCTTTTTTAGAATCTTTCACATCAATTACTATATCAATTCCAACAAATGTTGATTTTGGAAATTCCTCTGCCATAAACATTAACCAAGTTGCAGGTCCACATCTGAGAGAACAATTATAATTAATTAATTTATGTAGGTGATAGATGGAAGGCTTTTTTGATAAATATTAAATCAATCAAATATTAATATTAATCAATTTACCCAATATCTATTACAGATGCGCCACCATTCTGTAATGTTTCGCTTATAGGAGAAGAAAAATTACCATTCCATAAATATTGTGATGTAATTTCTAAAGTTTCCATTTTAGACATTGACTATAAAATAATAGAAAGTTTTAGAGAGTCTTGAGAAATTAATAGTTAATTATTAACTTATAATTTACCTTGTGATCAACAGGCAGGAATTCACAAGATTGCTTGATATTAATAAATTTTCTACCATCAACAAATTTGAAATTATCGAGTGCCAAATCATCACCACCATCATCATCATCACCATCACCATAACCCTTATTATTATAATTTTCAATTTCTTTCTTATCATAATGAATTTCTACCGTCGATCTTCTTGATTTATTATCATTATGGGGAATTTCTAATGGGTGTAAACTTTTACGATTTATTGATGGTTTACGACTATTACTATTGAAATGATGCATCGAGGTTATTTTAGTATTAGGTGTTTGTGATTAAAAAAAAAAACCAAAAAATTTTTAAGGTTTAGTATTTATAAAGGTTTCATTGTTTATATTATGTTTATATTATTTACCACATTACCTAATATATTTAGGAAATATTATAATGGCAAAAAAAAAAATAAAAACAATATAGTTTTTTTTAAAAATCACCGATTGATTCGATTAATTTAATTTACATGTTAATCGATTGCACAGGAAGGATATTTATGTATTTAAAGTTGTATACAGTATAGTTTTATATGGCCCAAGAAATTTTTATTTTTAAATATTTTGTCAACAAAGGAGTGGCTTTCTCCGATTTTTAATTGGACGGAAAACAAATAAATTAATATGGTTAAGAAGGTATGTATGATTAAAAATGGATTTCTATTTCTCTAAAGACAAAAAGTTTATGGATAAGTCGGGCGCAGCAAAATTGTTGATATTATGTAATAAAGGGTAAATTAGGTAAATCCCAATAAATCTTAACCCTGCATAAATCATTTGTTTTATTTGTTTACTGTATTATTTATATTTAAAATCTTGTTCTATCAACAACTTCGCTATTATAAATATTGCCAACAAAATTATCATCCCATCTAAAAGAAACTATATTAATATTAGATATATTAAAATTATTATTTCCAATATAATATTTTATTATGCTGTGCATAAAGACCAAATGTTTATGCAGATTTTTCCTTTTTTAAAAATCATAAATATTTTAAAATATTCTGTCTGACATATTAGGTGGTGGTTGCCGAAACTTCAAATGTACAGTATACACTCCGTTTTGACAAAAAAAGGTCGTTATAGAGATAGGGAATTTACAGATAATAATCATGTGATCAATTCATAATGCCATATAAGATTTTTATTTATATTTTAATACATTCGTTATGTTTATCATTTATTCAAGCCATCTAATGTTGATTGTTGATGTGAATCAAAATTGATTTTTTTAATTTTTCTTTTAAAGCTTTTTAATGATTTAAATTCGTTTTCAATTGCAACTTTTCAGATTGTTGCTCAATGTAAACATCTAATGTTTCATTTGTAACAGGTGAAAATTCTTCAATTATTTCTTCTTGATCTCAGTTGGATTAATTATTGAGATTATGTCTTGTAGAGATTTATCTCATCATTTTCATTAGGTTTGTCAATTTTGGATAATAAAGTAATAATGATATATGTATTAAATAATGTTTATGAAGATATAATGAATAATGGATAGATACAGTACCTGGACAAAAGTATCGGAACACTTGCTTTTGTTGATTGCGCAAAAATATACATAATAAACATATATGAAATTTATATCATTTGCGGTTTAGGTTCTTGTGAATATCTATGGAAAATCCCATGTATCTAGATTCCGTAGAACTCGAATAAATATATAAAAATGAAATTTGATTAAAATTTTCTTTGACGATCACTAAATCTCTGACGCGAAATTTTTTATTTTATTCTCAAATTCTATGTAATAATTTTTAATTTAAAATTTTAACATTTTTAATATTTAGTTGGGTATCCTTTGATCTTTGTACAAGCCTGAATTCTACTAGGCATGCTTTCAATCAAATTCATTAAAAAATTTTGAGGAATTTTATTCCATTCCTCTTTTAAAGTAGCCTCAAGTTTAAGATTTCTTAGATTGTTGGACGACTTCTAATACGATATATTGTTGTGGTGGAAGCCAAGTATTTTAAAAATAATTCTATATGAGGCTCCACTTTTATATTTGTCCGTGTTGAGCTTCAGTTAAATTAGACTTTTTTTTTTTTGAAATTTAAAATTTTGAAACCTTTTTTTAAAAAAAGTTCTTAAAAAATATGTAATAAAAAATAATTTTTCGGAATCATCAAACTTGGGTTTTCATATACAAAATTTCCAAAACATATTACTATGTAGGTTCTTGGACAATTTCTATAAACATGTCAAAATTTAATCAAATTTCATTTTTATATATTTATTCGAGTTCTGCGAAACTTGGATGCATGGGATTTTGCATAGATATTCACAAGAACCTAAACCGCAAAAGATATAAATTTCATACATATTTATTATGTATATTTTTGCGCAATCAACAAAAGCAAGTGTTCCGATACTTTTGTCCAGGTACTGTATGTTCTTTATTTTTATATTTCCTTGTGCGCGTGTCCCAATCTCTTTCCTTTGTTTCATAAGTTGCTCCCAAGAAGCTAGGTTATTCTTTACTGAATACAAATTCAGTTCCCACACACTCATTTACTACTAAATTCAAAGATTTCTCATATTAATATTAATAGCGTGATACATGATCGGGATAGATTAGGAATGAATAACTAACATATTTTATGTTCCAGGGTCAACTAATTTTAGTGTAGACCTATACATAATTCAAATGAAACTTTTTGTGGAAAAGCTTTTTATAATTATTATCAAATTACTGTGTAATAATTATGGAAGTTTTATAATATTAATATGAATATTGATTGATTAAGTTAGTTAGCAGTAATAATAGAAAAAAAAAGAAAAATGTTTGTCAAAATATCATTCTTTCTAGAACAAGATTTAAAAAGTTTATTATTTTTCAAAACATAATTATGATTTAACTTTTGAGATTAAATCTTTTCATCATCATTACTACCAGAACCTAATGTTTATTTATTAATCAAAATTATTGTTAGTAATAATCAGTGGAAATTAATTAGTAACAAGCTTATTAATCGTTTTAATAACAAAATAACTACCATGCTCATGATCGTTAGCTGTCAATGTTTTTGAAGAAGTTTGAAAAATGTTCAAACTTTCATAACCCCCTTTCAATTTATCTACCCAATACCATGGATTATCTAACATTCTTCTTGCAAATCCCCACTCATCAAAACTGCTGGATCCATACAACCACACAAGGATGCTTCCGATAAGACCTATTAGTCACCAAAAAAAAAAAAGATTTACACAACTTCTAACTTGTTAAGGTATGCAATTTAAATATACTAACCAAAGGCACCACCAGCTGATGCAATGCTACTTAGAATAGTACTTGTGCTATATTATGGTTCATAAGATAAATAAATTGTATTCATAGTGATGTTTACAATAATACTCTGTTTAAACTGGTTCCATTTGGTACAGATAATGGATTCTGGTTAAAGGGAAATTGACTGATTGTGCAATCAATTCTCGGAGTAGTTGCATAGTTGGGCTCAAATCCAATGATGGCAGAAGCATCCCGAGGTGGTATACTTTTATATATACTTGTCTTGAACTTGATCTAAAAGAAGTGTTAGAGAATAAATAATATAAATAATATGAATAACTGGAAAACAATCAATAATTATGTGTAAAAATCCTACTAATGAAATATAGCCTATTATTCCTGACATAAAATCCCATTGAAGGTTGATACGTGATCGAACAGCTTTGTCCATCTCACTGACATCCAACAAGTCTATTTAAAATATATCAAAACATTAGCAATTTTGACAATCTATTCTTTGGATAATTGAAATAGTCAGAAACCATGTAAAAAAATGACCATCTATCTATCTATACGAAAATAATCTTACTAAAAGGTATGTCGGTTCAAATATAATTATCCTATCTATATAGTTATCGAACAATTTTACTGACCAGGCGAAAAAACTCTTATTTGAATTAAAGCTACACCAAGTTTTTCTTTTTCAGCATCCGTTGCATTAATGTTGTAATAAAATTTCAACTTGTTCAAGCCATCTGGCTTTCCATGTGTATACTCTATAGCTTTGTTAGCTTTAAAGGTATAACAGCAGTACTTATCATCAGCACCCTCGGTAATATTAATAATAGGGCCAGAAATATATTCTTGGCATCCATTTTGGATGTTGGTTAGATTATTTAATTTGGTGTCGCAGCGTAATATTTCAAAGGAACCTGGAGAACAAATTTCCATATCTATAAATAACAAAAGATGTGAGTTTATTGTAAATTTAGTTTTACTTGTTGATGATAAACTTAACTCGGAACATCTATGGTATTGACAAAATTGTATTTTGTAATAACCACTGGATATTCTGTTGCAAGTTGGATTATTAAATAAATTGAGTATGAAACATAGCAGAGGAAAGCTAATATGTATGCATATATGCGAATATTTGTAAATGTTCGTGAGTCCTTGGATTTCTATGAAGAAATTTAAATATATTAAAACCCATATTGAAATTTGTGACTATTGCAAATTTAAATTTTGTACTAAGTTCAATTATAGTTACTATATTATTATTATCTGGATTATTAATTGCAACTTCTGTTCCAGCCATTGTTAATATATTGGACAACAGAAAGCATAATATATATATATACACGTATCTAGTAAATGTAAATCAATTCCTGTTTAGATTATTGCTAATCACCGCAATACTAATATATACTTAAAAAAAATTTTTTTTTGAAGTATATATATCTATATTTATGATTATTATATCAACCTTACAGATCAAATAGTACATACTGAAGTTTCACCGCATATAAATAAAATGTTTTTTACAAGTAAAAATATATATAGAAATTTTGAAAGACATCAAAAAATATATGAAACTATTTTAAATTAATTGCATTTTATTAAATATATATATATATATATATATTGTTGGGATTTTGCTTATAGTGGACTTTTTTTATTTTTCCCTTTATAATAAAATTTGTTTGTTATAGTGGGACTTCTTAATAAAATCTCTTATGTATAATGGACTTTTAAAAAATTTGATATAGAACATACCTTATGAATTGTGTTCGTTATAGGGAAATTGTGACAATCTTTTACATTAATGATTAATGTTGATGTGGTTTCTAAATGCAATGTGTTAAAATTATTTGTTATTATTAATGTTTGTATACTATCCTTTTTTTTTTTACTGATGAAGAAATTATTAGGAACCAAATCTTGAGGTTGATGATTCTGATGATGGTTACTTCTGATAAAGAGACATTAAATAGTTTAGAAAAAGTGATTCAATATTTAAAAAATACAATTAGCCATCTATCTATCATATTAAAAATGTTGGGTTCACGTGAGCATAACGTTTAGAATGTCGCGCACGCATAGCGCGCTTATAAATATACATAACGTTTAGGCTGCCACGCATAAATAATGATTTTTGAATTGTGCAATAATGCAATCTATCTATTATTGTATCGTTGGGTTACGTTTAGACTACCACAAAGCATAATGGACATTCGTTTTATCACTTTGTGACAAAATCGATCGTCGATCTTTTTTATATGAAGCAGGCTATTTCAATTGAGTTTAGAATTTGAGAATAAAATAAAAAATTTCGCGTCAGAGATTTAGTGAAAACTTTTTAATCAAATTTCATTTTTATAT